AGGACACCTGAGGAATCCGCAGGACACCTAAGCAATACGCAGGATTCCACGGGAATCCAACGGAATCCAAAGGAAACACCAGGAACCCTCTAGAATCCTTAAGGAATCCTTCATAAGTTATTCAAGGATTTCCAAGTTGTTCTGCGGAATCCTCTGGAATCCCCAGGAATCCAAATGACACCGAAGGAATCCCCAGGAATCCTTCGGAATTCAAGGAAACCCGCAGAGATCCATTACGAGTCGCGCAGGAATCCTAATTGCAGGAAACCTCCAGGAGTCCTTTCGGAAACTTCCAGGAACCCTGAGGAAACCCAGAGACCCTGAAAACTCGTTGAAGAATCCTTCATGAATTCTTCAAAGTCTCCAGGCTTTTCTAAAATCCGTCGGACATCCGACAAATTCTCCAGGTATTCCCTAGGGAGCCTCGACGGAGCCTCTGAGGAAGCCTCTAAGGAACCTCTGAGGAAACTTCTAAGGAAACATCTGCGGAGATTCTAAGGAGCCTCTAAGGAAACCTCCAAGGAGCCTCCAAGGAACCTCCATAAGGTACCTCGAAGAAACCTCCCAATAACCTCCCAAAAGCTCGAAGAACTGGTTGTGATTGGTCCCAGTTGGTTGAGATTGGGACCGAAATGCTTGGAATCCGTCCCAGCTGGTTGCGATCCGTCCCATGTTCGGTTCGAACCGGGGGGGGGGGGGCCCTCCTCTGTCCACGGGGGAGGGGGGGGGAGTTCGAACCGGGGGGGCCCCGCACCCCTCGAGTCGCAGGGGGGGGGTTCGAACCGGAATGCGGCCCCCCCCGTGCAACCGACGACGGCGACCGCTGGCGCTGGTGCCAGCGCCGTTGGGCAGCGACGAAGAGGGTGGCCCCGCCTGCAGCGACGACGGCAGGCGCTGGCGCCCGGGCCGTTGCCGACGGGCCGACGGCGACGGCGACGGCGACGGCGACGGCGGCGGCGGCGGCGACGGCGACAGCGACGGCGACGGCGACGGCGACGGCGGCGACGATGGCGACGGCGTCGGCGGCAACTGCGGCGGCGACCGAGAAGGCGACGGCGACGGCGACGACAGCGGGCACACAGGACCCCCCCCATCCTGAGTTGGATGGGGGCGGTTTCGGACCTGGATGGGGCCCCCCCCGTTGGCACCGGCGCTGGCGTTGGCGGCGTCGGGCACCAACGACCACGAGGACGACGACGACGACGACGACGGCGACGGCGACGGCAGCGATGACGGCGACGGCGGCGACGGCGACCGCGATGGCGACGGCGACGGCGACGACGACGGGCACACAGGGGCCCCCCCTTCTGAGGTGCATGGGGGAGAATTCGAACCTGGAGGGGGCCGCCACCGTTGGCGCCGGCGCTGGCGTTGGCGGCGTCGGGCACCGACGACCATAACGACGACGACGACGACGGCGACGGCGGCGACGGCGACGGCGACTGCCACAGCGACGGCGACGGTGACGGCGACGGCGACGGCGATGGCGACGGCGACGGCGGCGGCGGCGGCGACGGCGACCGACGACGACGGCGACGGCGACGGCGACGGCGACGGCGACGTCGGCGACGTCGACGACGGCGACGACGACGACGACGACGGCGACGGCGACGACGGCGGTGGCAGCGACGACGACCGCGAACGACGACCAAGAGCCGACAACCGAATGACGACGACCGATGGCCGACGACCGACGACCGACGACGACGACGACCACAACGACGACGGTGGCGGCGACGACGACGACGACGACGACGACGACGAGGACGTCGACGTCGACGACGGTGACGCCGACGACGACGCCGACGGCGATGCCGACGCCGACGCCGACGCCGACGACGGCGATGGCGACGGCTGTGGCGACGACGGCGACGGCGACGGCGATCGGGGCCCGGCAACGACGACGACGTCGCGCACAGAAGGGGAGGAGTTTGTGGGTTCGAACCTTCCACCCCTTGCAAGTCAGGGTTGGGGGCCCCCTGGTTCCCCCCTTGAACCTCAGGGGGTTGCCCCCCCCCCGTTGAGAACTCCCCCCACCTTTGGACATGGATGGGGGAGCCCCCCCGCGGTTCGAACCGTCCCCCTTTGCAAGGGGGTCCCTTTGAATAGGGAGGCCGGTCCGGTGTCCAGGGGGGGCCCCCCCTGTTTTCCAGAGGCGTTCAATATTCTTTTTGGGCCCCCCCCAGGTTCTCACGTGTCAAGGTGTTTTTGTCCAGGGAAGCGTCCACGAGGTGTTCTCCCTGGCGTCGTCATATCGCTAAGCCTATCCCTATTCATCCCCCTCCCTCCCTCCCCCCCTCCTCCTCCTCCCACTTCCTCCTCCTCGTCCTTGGCCTCGTCCTCCTCCCCCGCCCCCGCTCGCGTGACCACGACGTGCAGCCGATGACCAGATGATGGCATGATCGCGATCCTTGCTTGCGGGGGCCCGTGCGGATCTGTGGGGCGACGGGGCTCCTCGGCGCCGCGCCCGGTCATCGGCGCCTCGGGCGCCGCCCGCGGCGCGCTCGGCCGTACCCGGGGAACGAGCGTGCGGCGGGGGTTTCTGGTTTCTGGTTTCTGGGGTTCGTCGGAGCGCGGGGTCCTGCATGATCCTGCAGAACCAGGGCCGCAGGGACCGTGGCCAGGGCGCGGGATCCTGCAGGAGTGTGCCGGACCCTGCACAGCCCGGCTGGCCCGGGTCTGGACTGACCCCGAGCAGGGGATCCCCGAGGGGGTCCGGTGTCGTCGCAGGAGAAGCCTCGCGGACCGCTGAGCGTGCACGCTGGTGCGCGGCGGGGATCTATCCATCACCACCGCCTGCGGGATCGACCTCTGGTGGCCTCGGCAGGTGGCGGTGGACATTGCGAGGTCCGCCACCCCCAGCGGGCCTGCACGAATCCGTGTCCACCGCAGGCAGAGGTCTCCGAAGACCGATCTCTTCGGCGGTGGTTCTGGATGGATTCCCGCTGCGTGTCCATGTGTTCCTGTGCTCAGTTCTGGCGCCGCGAGGGGAGCATGGCGGGCAGCCATGCCTGGTTTCGAATCGCCGCGGCTGCCTGGCTGCAGCGGGAGGAGGGATGAGCGCTCCCTTGGAATTTATCAGGCTTCGTGCACCAGTGTACCCCCACCAGCCCACCACAGAGACGATCCCGAGGCGAGTTGCCTTGGCTAGGGAGCTGTTGCAGCATACTCTGTGTCCCTCTAATAGTTCCGGGGTGGGTCTTCAGTCTGGGGAGGTTCCAATAGCCCAGGGTGGGATATCAATAGTCTGGGCGGGGTACCAATAGTCGGAGGGGGAGGGCGTTTGTCGCAAGCGTGGGTGGTCCAGGGGGTCTTCTACCTGTAGTCGGGGGGGGGATGGTACCAATACTCTGGGGGTGAGGGGTGAGTGCCAATAGTTCGGGAGGAGGTACCGATTGTCCCGGAGGTGGGGGAGGGGGCGATAGTCCAGGAATGGGACCAACAGCCCTGGGGATGCCCGTAGTCCGAGGACCTAGAACTATTGAGGGACACAGAGCACAGAGGCACAAAGGCGGGGTGGGGTAGCCCCTTACCCTTACATTCCTCGCTCGTCTCTTCATCTATTTTCTCGAGAGCCTTCGACCTGCTACACGAAGGCATGCATGGTCGAAGCCTGTGTTCCGGAGCTTGGGATAACGGACCTCTTGAGTGAGGGGGGGGGGCACACAGGCCCCCCGACCCGGGCTCTCCAGGCTGGAGGTGGTGTCGTTGTCCTTATTCTTGCTACAGTTGGGACGCGCATCAAAACCACATTATTTTCGTCAGGGTACATAGGGTATCTTTACTGTGCGGCGACTTCCCGCTAGCACTAAGAAACTGCATTCGGGGCGCCATGGGTTTCCGGCTCTTGGAGCCATCTTGCGTTGGCCTGGGATTTTTGGGGAACGTCGAAGTTCCCTTGTCGCTCGTGTGGATCTGGGTCGCAAGCAAGGTGCGTGAGGGCCTGGGCTGAAGCAGGTGCCCTGCTCCAGGGTAGCGCCGCGAGGGCACGAAGGTAACTGAGTGTCGCACATCACTGTGCGCTACGGCCAAAGTTGGGTCACCTAGATGGGGTAAGTTGTTGGCTGTGGTCGATTCTGAGAAGCAGTGAGCAGGTCGCCATACATCAAGATGGCGGGGGCAGGGCGTGGTACAGGTCCCATGTCGGGCCCGCCTGCGTCGCGCACGTAGCACAACGGGTCTTTCTTGTCCATTGTACGTCATGCATGTGTTGATGCACGTCCGCAGTCACACGGGCATACGGTGTCTTGCCATTGCTCGCGCTCTTCTTGCTCCGCTTGCTCATCGTGCATGTCGTGGGACATCAATTGACTACTTTACCGATCTTGGCCAGGCCCAGGCTGGCCCAACCAGGACCTATGAGGTGATCCATTGACGGCCCCCCGATCATGCCCTTCCTCTCTTCCCTTCTCCCCCTCCCCTGCCTGCGTCTCCATCTTCATCTCTTATGTTCGTATTGTTATTGTCATGGTCCATCTTCATTGCTTCTTCTTCTTCTTCTTCGTCTCGCCGCGTCCCCCCCTCTTCCTCTTCTCCTTGTCTTCCCCCTCAACTGCTCCCGTCGCCATCGCCACCCCGTCGTCCACCAGAGGGGCGCTTCCGACGCCCCCCGCGGAGTCGTGAGGCACGCGTGGCGCCTGGCTTCCTCGGCCCTCGAGCTTCCCCCCCCCTGCCCCCCTCGCAGCTCCAAGTGCCTCGGTCATCGCGCGCCCTCCCCCATATGCCTCGCCCCTCCCGGAGCCCCTGTCCTCCTCCTCGCTCCTCGCCCGTCGGCCCTCCTCGATCCTCGGCCCCCCCCCGCCCCCACCCCCCCCTCGACCTCCCTCCCCTCCCCCCTCCGCCCCCAGCCTCCCTCGAGCCCAGAGAGCACCCGCCCCCCCCCCCAGCCAAAAGTTTTAACGCTTCGCGTTTTCACCAATTCCAATTCCAATTCCCCCCCCAGCCAAAAGGAGAGGCCGCCCCTGGCCGCCCCCGGGGGGGGCGGGGGCGCCGCCTCCCGCAGGACGCGCGGTGCCTCTTCAAGCTGGCCAGGAGCGCCCTGGCGCTCTTCCGCGTGGAGGCGGCGCCCCCCGGCGGCGGCGCGGCCGGCCGTCCCTGCGGACCTCCCTCGCCGAGCGCGCGCGCCATTTGTTCGCAGAGTGCCTGCTCGCGGACGTCGGAAGCTGTGCACGTCGTCCTCTCCGTGTGTATGAAGGGGCCCTGGGACACACAAATAGATAGACACAAATAACCAGATTCCCCATGCTTGCCCATATTTCCTGGGTTTCTGTCTTCTCCCCCGCTTCCCATATTTTCCCATATTGTCTGGGGAGTCGACGATTGGTTGTGTCTGTGTGCTTTTTTCCCCTCCTGAGTGTAGCATGTCGTAGATCCCCCGTGGAGGATCCAGGCAGTTTGCGGGTGTTTGAGTTGCGAGCCGCGGAGCGCGCCTGTTCGCTCCCCGGTGGGGATCGGAGCAGACGGGGTCGGGGGATCGCGCCGCGGCGCCGATGCATCGCCGGTGCGGCTCGATGTGGGGCCCGATGTGCTTCACGCCGACGTCGCCTGTGCATCGCCGACGTCGACTCGACGATGCATCGCTGGTGCATCGCCGACGTATCGCCGATGCATCGCCGATGCATCGTCGATGTATCGGCGATGTGGCGCGATCTTCCGACACCATCTTCTCCGATCCCATTTAGGGGGCCTCTCACCCCTCGGGGGGGGGCAATCCTCCTGGCGAGGGACCGGACCCTTGGCATCGAAGAATGAAAGCTCAGGAGCGAAAGAAGGACGTACGTACAGTCCACCCGCACAGGAAGGAGGAGCGACGTTCCGTGGTTACCCTTGCATCCTTCCTCTTCGGCACATCCTTATCCGCTTTCGCTGGCCGCGTCCCGCTCGCAAATTGTCGATATGGTCTTCCAAGGCCTTTGCATCCTTCTCGTGGGTCCTTTCTATACGGGTTGACTGTACGGTCGAATCAAGGTATAAGGTCGAGGTCGGTTCGGGGATGGTACCATGATGTTCTTCGTGCTTGTTGGATGTGTTTGTGCATTCTGGGGGAGGGTGCCCTCGAGTGATCTTATGGTTTGGGATGTTGTTTTTGCCAGCGGAGGGTCTCATGTGTTTGAAGGATGTTATTATGTTCCAGGTCCGACTGCACACGTGCATGAATCCATGTTGATTTCGAACGTATGCATTGCGCGAATGTTCGTATCATGAGGCTGGTCTCCCGGACTGGGGGGGGCGTATTCTCATGTACGTGGTTGGGCGCGCACGTCCTTCATGTGCTCCCTATTTATGAGCTGCTTCCTCCCCCAATGCAGTCGTGAGCATCGCGAGGCAAGCGAGAAGGGGTGTGTGCGAGCAGAATGACGGGCTGGCGCGCATACCCTGTTGGTCCACTTCCGAAACGTGTAAGGGGTGTGCCGACATGGGCGCGGTCACGCCTGCGGGCCTGGCCACTGGGGCCTTCCATGTGGAGGGCCCGCGAAGCGTGTGCGGGGCGTGCCGTCGCCGAAACAGAGGCATGCGCTGGGGGCAGAGGCAGGGAGGGCAAATGCCGGGATGGGATGCGGGAGGAGGAGGAGGAGGAGGAGGAGGAGGAGGAGGAGGAGGAGGAGGAGACCGAGGAGGACGAGGAGGAGAGTGGGAGGGAGAGGGGGAGGGAGAGGGACAGGAGAGAGGAGAGGAGAGGAGAGGAGAGGAGAGGAGAGGAGAGGAGAGGAGAGGAAGGGAGAGGAAGGGAGAGGAGAGGAGAAGAGAGGATAGGATAGTGGAGGGGAGATGGGAGGAGAGAGGCGAGAGGAGAGTGGCGAGAGGAGAGGAGAGGAGAGGAGAGCGCGGGCCCGCTTCCTTTGGATTCCCTGGGCCGTCTCGGGCTTCCTTTGCCCGCGGCCTCTTACTTCTTCTATAACGAAATATGTGCCAGGTCTCTGGTTTTTGGTCGCTCGGTCGAGCTCGCAGAGGCCAATGCCCTCCTGCCAGCAGTCCGCAGCATCCTGCCGCGGTAGGCGGACAAGGACTGCACCGCCAGGCCTGGAGGAGAGGAGAGGAGAGAAGACGCGGGACGCTGCTGGTTCAAAACGAGGACCCAACACCACATGATGGTTTGGACATCGAAGCGTCCGGCATTTGTCCCGCATCCGCAAGCTCTGCGGCAGCTGAGCCGCCCTGAACGGCCGTCGCGAGCCCGAGCTATGACCAGCTGGCCAGATGACGAGGATCTACAGGGGGGCCCTGCCAAGATACACCCTGCTCGCCTCCAGGGAGAGCGTGACGCTCCCACGCCAAAAATTGATGGACGTCCTGGGATCTCAGGGGTGGGTTTCTTGTGGTAGGTTTCTTGTGGTTGGGTCCTTATTGCAGTGTCGAACGAAACGGGGATCGGTAAAAGGGGGGGTCGCGACATCTGCTGCGTGGAGCCTGATTCGGCCCCGCCACTGGGCGCTTTCTCTATGCATTGGCGCTGGCGACGCCGGAAAACGCTTTGGAAACCGGCTACGCGATCTGGTCCGTTGTCCCCCCGTTGCTACCCCTCCCTCTCCTCTACCCCGGCCCTTTGGGGGGGAGCGATACTGATGCCGCTGCTCGCCTTCGATGGCCCTTGTCGCCAGTGCAGGGTTCGCATCGAGGCTCTGGTCAGAATGCAGCGGTGCCGGTACTTGTCAAGGAGTCCCCAGCCATCAGGGTCGGGGGTGGTCAGGGGCAGCTCCTGATGGGTGCATCGGGGGCCCAAGCCAGAGTTGCCCAGGTTTGGGGTTATCCCGGACAGCTCGGGCGTCCAGCCCGTCCTCGGGCTAGGGGGGTCAGGGGTCAGGGGTAGCTCCTGATCCGTGGATCGGGCGCCGAAGACGGAGTTACCCCAGACCGCAGGTATCCCGGATAACTCGGGCGCCCAGCGTCTGTCCCTCCCTGAGCACTGTTCGGGCGTGTGCGTGTCTTCCTCGGCGGGGACCATCAGGGAGCATCCTGGACGATCTCGCGAAGCATGAGCGCGCGAAACCGAGGATGCACGGGGAACGGACGTCCGAGTGCTTGCGCGCGTTGCGCGGCGCGGCGGCGGCGGTTCCGCAGCGGCGTCGGGCGGCACGGCGGCGGCGTCGGGCAGTGGCGCGGCGGCGGCGACGAGGCGGCGGCGAGGCGGCGGCACCGCGGCGGCAGCGGGCGGCTCCGCGACAGCAGCGGCGCGGCGTCGGCGAGGCGGAGGCGGTGGCGGCGAGGCGGCGGCGGCGAGGCGGCGGCGGCGAGGCGGCGGCGCGCGACGGCGGCGCGTGACGGCCGGGCGGTGGCGGCGGTGGCCGCCATCCGCGCGGGGTGGCGGCTGCGCCAGCGGGGTGGGCCCAATGCCGCCGTGGCTTCAGGAGGGAAACAAAAAAACACACACAGACACAATTAATCGTCGATTCCCCAGAAAATATGGGAAAAGATGGGAAGTGGGGGGGAAGACAAAAACCCAGAAAATATTGGAAAACATGGGGAATTGTTTTATTTGTGTGTCCCAGGGCCCCTTCATGGTTGTCAGGGGCAAGGGTGGGTGGGGGGGGGAGGAGCTCTGGGGGAGAAGCCCTCGACCCCGAGCGCCCGCTCATCGCCGATGGGGGCCCGCCCCGCCAAGGAGCGCTCGGCGCTGCGATCGAGGTCCCATCGCTGAGGCATCGGCGACGTATCGCCGACCCGCGAGCTTGGCGTGTCAAGCCGACGCAAGCCGATGCATCAGCGGTGCATCGCCGATGTTTGCCGATGTGTGTGTGTGTGTGTGCGTGCGTGTGTGTGTGTGTGTGTGTGTGTGTGTGTGTGTGTGTGTGTGTGTGTGTGTGTGTGTGTGTGTGTGTGTGTGTGCTTCGCCCCCCTCCCCCCCTACGTTGGCCTTCGGACGTGTTCGTCGGTCTCTGGGGGAGCGGGAGGTGGGGGGGCGGAGGGGGAGGGACCGGGAGGAGGATGGGCGGAATAGGGCGCCACGACGCTGTGAAGCTCGACGAGGAACAACAGCACAAGCATCACGCCTACGGGTGTGCTGAGCAGTGCGACGGGCACGGAGGCGCAGGCGGAGGTGGAGGACGGAGAGTAGGACGCCAATGTTGAATGCTCTGTCGCGTCTTCAGGGTTGATGATGCCGAATCGTTATGTGCACTTGTAGTGTCTGTTGATCCCTCTTTCTTGTGATTATTTCGGACAGGGTGCTACTGACGAAGTGCATTCTGCTGGTGTGGAAGCGGCTTACCTCAACATCGCGCAGGTCGTTTATTGTTTTTCTCTGTAGTGTTTTTCTGTTATCTCTCTCTCTCTATTTATCTTCCTGTGTTTGAGTTCTTTATTTATCTCTCTCTCTCTATCCTGTCTTCCGTTATGAATATACACATATACACAGATAGTGATGTCTCTCTCTTTCTCTCTCTTTCTCTCCCTCTCTCTCTATACATATATATATATGCATCGTTTCCGATATATATATATATTTATATATATATATATATATATATATATATCGGGGCTGGACAGAACCCCCAATAGTGACACGTCGATTAGTGAATTGTCCGTTTTCGGTTCTCGAGAGGGCGCCGTGGCCGTTATTTTCCAGGCTTTCGCCCGCCAGATTTGTGCCCGAGGTCGTTTTCACTAAACCACGTTTTGCTAAAGGGGGTTCTGTCCATCCCCGAATATATATATATATATATATATATATATATATATATTTGTCTTGCCCTCACCTACCAGGAACTTCTGCCTGAGTTCGGAGGGGCCGCATTGAGCTGCTTGATATCGATCCCGTGCGTACGTCCTAGCATGCGTGAGCACTCGCGATGATATGCTAGTACATGATTGCATGAGTCGAATGTCCCATAACCCTGATAATTCAGATGGCACCTTTCAACTAGGGAGGGGAAGGAGGCAGAGGATGGAGGGGGAAGGACAGGGACATCGAGAAAGAGAAGAGAGAGAAAGAGAGAGAGAGAGAGAGACACGTAGGGAGAGGAGGGAGAAAGAGAGAAAGAGAGACAAAGGGAGAGAAAGAGAGAAAGAGAGAAAGAGAGAGAACGTCAGAATGAAGAGGGATTACGTAGGAAGAGGAGGGAGTATCGAGGGAGGGCGTTGAGGACTGCTGAGGGGGAGGACGGTGGGGATCGACGGACAGAGGGGGGTAGAGTGAGGGAGGGAGGGAGGGAGGGAGAGAGAGGGAGGGAGGGAGGGGGTGGGGCGGGGGGCGGAGGGAGGGAGGGACATGAGGGGGAGCGGGGATGGAGGGGAGGGGGAGGGAGAGGGATGTGCACGGGGGACGCGGGGGGGCGAGAGTTGAGGGGGAGGAGCGACGATGGAGTGGGAGGATGCCCGATTCGTTGCATCGCGTTCCGTTTCTGGTCGTGCGACCTCCTTCTCCTCCTTTTTCTTCGTCCTCCTCTTCTTTGTGGCTCGCTTCCAGGCGCGGTCCGTCCCAGCAGCAGGGGCAGCGATTGGTCACTGTTTGGAAGGAGGCGTGCTTCGTTGCAGTCGCTGCGGCGCGTTGTGGAGGAGGATCAGGGTCAGGATCAGGACTCAAGGTCAAGCCGAGCAGAACGCACCAAAGCACGGACACAGGTCAAAGCTGACCCGGACGAGAGGGGGAGAGAGAGAGAGAGAGAACAAAGTAGTAGAAACAACGTCCCATTTTTTTACTATTTTTGAATTTCCCCCCTGTAGGGGGACACGCCCGACCGAATGTTAATGGCGGGGCGATCAAGGGAGGGCATCGAGGGCAGCAGAAAAGAGGGCCTTCGGGGCCCCTAGAAGGGCCCTTTCTGAGGCCCACAAGGGGGCCTCGAGGGTCCGAAAAATTCACTTCTCTCTTGGCATCGCTCGGGCGTGTGTGTGTGTGTGTGTGTGTGTGCATTTTTGCTTGGTAAGGACCATCGATGAGAATCCTGGATCAACGTGGGGCGAAAATACACGCACGGAGTCGAAACGTGCACGGGAAATGGACGTCCGAGCGATGGCCACTTCTTCCCTCCCTTCTTCGTCGCCTCCCGAGTAAGCGACTCCCAACTTGCAGGTCCTCTTCAAGTACTCCCAGAAGGGCGACCACGACGCCGAGTTCCGGACCGAGGGCCTGCTCGAGCCGCTCCTGGAGGCGCGGGGGCGCGGGTCCTCTCGGCGACCGTCTGGGAGCACTCTTGAGCTGGTTTGGAGGCCTCGTAGGCCGTCTCGAAGCCATCTTGGACTATCGCGGGGTCACCCTGGGCCGTCTCGACGCTCTCTTGGATTGCTTTGGCGCCCATTATCTCGGGGCTCCTTGGAGGCTCCGGAGAGCTTTCCGGACGCCCCCCCCCCCTCCCTCGATTTGGAGCTCCAGGGGAGCGGGGGGGGGAGGGGGGCAGCCACTCATCTCACACGCCTTCTGACCCCCAGCAAGCGAGGGTCGGCGGATACATGTCCGGGGCCAGAGTTTTTACAGACCCACCTCCTGGAGAGTTGATGTCCCAAGAGCCCTTGGGGGGGCGCTAGATCTGGGTTGACAGACTCCAGAGCAAGAGACACGAACAATGATTTGATCCAAGAGTTCCAGGATCCCTATGATTTCCTGATGTTTCTAGACGAGGGCTGCAACAACAATGTTTCTAAACAAACAAGATACTCCAGAATTTCTGGAACGTGTCCTGCTCCAATCGCATCATGACATCATTCTCGTCCTCCGCCGTGCGAGATCCAGGAAGCTCAGTTTCCCAAACGGTGGACGTGTATAAGCCTCACCCTCGGGCAGGTGGGTCCCCTACGAAGGCTGGATGCCGACAGCTTCCTGTTGGGAAGCATCGAGCGAGCAATCGCCCCCCTGTTAAGCAGCGGGTGGCCGCTGCCGTCCCAAGAATAATATACGGTGCGCCATCACGTCAGGCACGTCCCTCTCCTCCCCTTCCCTTTCCTTCTCCCTTCCGGCGGCGGGATGTGCGGCCTGCTTGTTAGGACTCCACGGGCGAGATCTTTGCAGTGGTTTGTGTAGGGCTTCCATACCCTGGAAACTCAGAGCGGACGGGTGGTCCTCTCGCAGCTCTTAAAGCCGTGCTAGGGCTTCACATCCAGTCAAGATCTGGAGCTACGCCCCTATAGGTGTCTGATGTGATCCTTCTCTGTTCCTCCTCCTCTTCCTCCTCCTCCTCCTCCTCCTCCTCCTCTTCCGATCGCTGGAGGTCCCTGCATCTCTCCAGTTGCGTCCAGGTGTCTCCCAAAAAGGGCAAGCATGTCCAGGAGCATCGACATGCACGTGCCCAGACCTCGTCGTCTCCAGCCCGTGGGGGCCCTCGCCAGGCCCCAGAGCCATCAAGAACGGCCCAGCATGGAGCATACGGGGCCAGGGAGAAGTGCAAAGAGTTGGGATTCTGGAGGATGAGGAGGAGGAGGAGGAGGAAGAGGAGGAGGAGCAGGAGGAGGAGGAGAAGGAGGAGGAGGAGGGGGAGGAAGAGGAGGAGGAGGGAGGAGGAGGAGGGGGAGGAGGAGGAGGAGGAGGAGGAGATCGAACATCATTCGACGCGGAGATCCCCGCAGGTGCATCCCAGTTCCCGGCGCCTCAGCTTGGTGAGTGTCCGAGTGGAGCCTGTGGCGACGAAGTTCCCCCCTGGCGGCTCCTCCTAGGGGTGCTCGAGTTTCGCGCCTGCTATATATTGCGCTGATCCTGGGGCTCTCAAGGAGAGGAATCTGGGGCTCTCAAAGAGAGGGGAGGAGGAGGAGGAGGAGGGGAGGAGGAAGAGGAGGAGGAGGAGGAGCGCTCTCGGGACACGCTGGAAGTTCACAGGAGTCTGGGCCACCAAACAGTTAAGCCGCGTCAGCCATCCCCACAATCTGGGTGTTAACGGGCAGGCGTCCCCCTCCCCGGTTGCTCCTCTTTGGGGTGCTTAAGCGTCATCCTTTCTGCGTCTGGTGTGATGTATTCTGATCGTGAGCGAGTCCGAGTGTGACCGAATAGTTGTGAGCGTGGTCTGGGTCGGAGCGTGAGGGTGTGAGTGAGTCTGAGTGCGTGAGTATGTGAGCGAGCCTGAGTTCCAAAGAGACTGAGTCTGAGTGAGTCGGGGTACGATTAAGATCAGCATGAGTACTTCTGAGTGTGAGTGATCTGGGTGTGTGAGTCATTATGAATGCCAATGAGTCTGAGTATACTTCTTCACGCTTCGCGTATCCCCAGCACCAGCGCATTCACAAACCTTGTCCATGAGAGTTGACGAGAAAGGGGACTCAGAGACACGTATAGTGAAACAAAGCGGGCAACCAGAGTGAACAGAGAAATCGTTGGGAGCAAGGAGGCGGCCTTGGAGGGCCTCTTCGGGACATCCTTGGGGCACCCGTGGGGGCGAGGGAAGGAGGAGGAGGAAGACGACGACGACGACGACCACGACGACGAGGAAGAGATGGAAACGGAAAAAAGACGATGAGTGCAAAGACGAGGGCGAGGAGGAGAAGGAGGAGGAGGACAACGAGGACGAGGATAGAGCCCAAACAATTGCTTGTTGGAGCCTTCTCGGGGTTCTTGAGGGTGATCCTGGAGTCCTCTCTGGGCTCTTTTTGGGATATTGGGGCCCTCTTGGAGCACTCTTTGGAGTCCCTTGGGAGCCCTGGATTGCCTCTTGGGGCCGTCTTGGAGGCCATCGATGAAGAGGGAGGGGGGTCCTAATCTTGCCTCCCCCCGGGGCCCTCTTGGGACGCTGTTCGGCGCTCTGGGGGCAATTTGGGGGGCCTCTTGGGCCCCTCTTGCGCCTCTCTGGGGCCATCGTGGGACCATCTCGAGGCTTGAAAAGTGCATCAGAAGCGAAACGGCGAGAAGGCCCGAATCAGTGATTTGCACTAGGTGGTTGAAGGAGTTCGACCTCCTGGGAAGGCTCTGAAAGGGGGTCCGAGGGCAATTGGAACGGTCTTATGGTCCTCGTGGGGCCTCTTGGAAAAGGTGCCAGACGCTATCTTGAACCATCGTCGGCTATCGTGAGCCATCTTGGAAACCAGTTCGGGAGCGTCGGACGCCCTCTTGGGACCCTCAAACGCCTCGCGCCCCCCCCAAAAAAGAAAAGGGGGGTACACCACGAGGAAAAGAACAGGCTTCGGGACGAGGAAAGAAATGCTTCGTTAGACCACCTTAGCTCGAAGGGATGGCGGGATTTAGTCTGAGCATGACTAAGCTGAATACGAATGGATCTGAGTGTGAGCGAGCCTGAGTGTGGAATGGTTCTGAGCATGAGTAGCAAGCGAGAGGAGAGGAGAAGCAAGGGAGGGGCGCTACACAAGTGACAAGGAACTCCATCTCAGGACACGTACGGGGGCACCGGGTCTCTGTCGTTCGCGTCGTCACGACCCTGCTCCTCACGCCTGAACCCGGGCAGGTCTGCTCGATGGCCGGGGTCGGCGCCGGCGTGCGTCCTGGCGCGAGCGATCTGGTTCGATATCGACCCCGTGCCGATGCGGCGCGGTCGGGCGCACGCTTCGATGCGGCACGGCGTCCCGAGGCTCGATGCTGCCCGATCCTGCCTTGGCTCCTCGCGCTGGCGGCGGTGGCGGGTGCCGCCTCTCCGTGTCCGCCCGCGCCGCCTCCGAGGCGAAGCCCCGTCGATGTGGGGGCCCCCGCGCCCCAGCCGCGCAGGTCCTGCGGTCGGACGCACCCGAGTGCTGCTCCAGCGACCTGAGGGTGGGCCCCCGCCCCCCCGGGGGTGCGGGAGGCACGGGAGGCTTCGGGAGCCCTGAGACGGGGGTCAATGCAAACGGGGGTCAGCCAGAGTGCCCGATCCTGCAGGATCCTGCAGGGCCAGGGCCGCACTGACCCCGGTTTGGGTGCAGGATCCTGCAGGATCCTGCGCACTGACCCTGGTTTGGGTGCAGGACCTTGCAGGATCCTGCAAGGCCTGACTGACCCGGGTCTGGATTGACCCGGGTCAGGAGATCCCCGAGGAGGGTCGGCTTCACGCAAGAAGGACCTGTCGCCGGAGTGGCCTTTGGTGTGGGCACACTGGGGCCCCCAGGGGGCTGAATGCGGTACGATCGCAGCGCTGGCCTCCCCGCGCCCCCAGAAGGCCGCGAACACCGAAGGCCACTCGTGCCTGGGGTCACTCTTGCGTGCAGCCGACAGGGGAGAACGAGCAGAAGAATGAGAAAGGAAGGGAAATGGGGGAAACAGAAAGAAGAGGAGGGCGAGAACGTAAGCAAAGAGGATCGGGGAACAGAGATAGCGCGCGCGACGACACGACGATGGCCACGCCCACCAGGATTTCGGCCTCTGGCGTCGCAGGCGGTGTCCTTCAGGAGAGGAAAAACACAGGCACAATTACTCTTCCATTCCTCAGAGAATATGGGAAACTATGGGAAGTGGGGGGGAAGACAGACACCCAAAAAATATAGGAAAATATGGGGAATACTTTTACTTGTGTGCGTTGATTTGTGTGCCCTGGGGCCCCTTCAGTCTTGGGGCCCCGGACCTCCGTCGGTGCGGTTCTGCTCGGCTCTGGCGCCCTTCCGCGCCGTCGGCCTCTAAGAGTGGGCCGTCGTCGGGCCCCGGGGGACAGTCAGAGATGGATCTGGGGCGGCAATGTGTCAAGGGGCCCAAGGCCACACAAATAACTACACACAAATAAAATGATTCCCCATATCATTCCCTATTTTCCCAGGGAGACACAAGTAAAATGATTCCCCATATTTTGCCATATTTTCTGGGGTTTGGTCTTCCCGCCAATTTTCCCATATTTTCCCATATTTTCCTCGGAGTCGACGATGAATTGTGTCTGTGTGTGTTTGTTCCCTCCTGAGTTTGGCCCCAGAGGAAGTGGTCGGGACCTTTGGGGCCGAGGGTCTGACAAAAAACATCGTGGGATGCTTGGGATTGCCGCCGTATCACGGCACGCACGCCGTCGCACGTGGGGCGTCCCGGGAAGGGCCTCGCCTTCGAGGTTTTGGGAAGCTGGCTTCTCCTCTTCGGCGGAAGCCAGCGGAAGCAGAGCGGGGCGCGGCTCCGAGGCTATTCCTGGGATCTGGCCCTCGAGTACGATGGGAGCAGCAGGACCCGGGCGGTGGAATCTGGCTCGGGCGGGGGAGGGAGCGGCACAGAACAAGTCTTATGTCCGCGTGTCCCCCTACAGGGGGATTTTCGACGAAAAGTGGAAACACCCCAAACATACCCCAGAGAGGCCGTCAAATAGTCCAAAAATAGTCCCCAGACCAATTCTGGATTATGTTTTGACTAGTTTGGGGGGTATCTTTTAAATTTATCGTCGAACATCCCCCTGGAGGGGGACAGGCCCGACAAAACGAGTCGTGAGGATCTGGGTTCCCCAGGCGGTGCTCGCGCGTGGCGCGCCTCCCACGGAGCGCCTCGCGGTCCATCGCTCGGACATGTGTATTTTTTTCTCGGCGAGGACCCTTGAAGACCATCCTGGACCATCGAGCCAAACAAACACGCACGAAACCTAAAATTGCACGGGAAATGGACGTCCGAGCGACGGCGAGGAGAGGCTTCCGCGGCCGGGTCGCGCCGCGGGGCGCCGGCCATGCCGCGGCGGCCGCCGCGCGCCGCGGCGCGGCGGCGGTCTGCTGGAGCGCCACGCCGCCTGCCTCCGCCGTCGTCTCGCCGCGGGGGCTTCCGCGGCGAGGCGGCGGCTGGGAGGATCGGGTCGGGCGAAAGGGGGGGATTCGGAAAGGGGGGGGTACGAAATTTGCTGCATGCAGCTGGTTTCAGCCTCACCAAGGGGCCCATTCCTCGATACATGGCCGCCTCCGGCGCCGGGAGGCGCCGGGAAAATCAGCTACGTGAGCTGATTCTCAAACCCCCCCTTTGCTGTCCCCTCCTTTCGCCCGACCCGAGATGACGAACGAACAACACACACCCATACCCATAGGGGGAGTGTTGGGGGGAGGACTGGTTAAGGGTGTGGGTGCGGGCTGTCGGATCCTGGGGGTTGCTTCCTTTCGAGCGTGGGCCCCCATTTGGCAACACGCACCCATAGCCCCCTCCGTCCCACCTATGGGTATGGGTGCGTGTTGTTCGTTCGTCATGGGACTGCCTCCGCTCGTGGAGGGCGGTCCACGGAGAGGAAGCATGTTGCCAAATACTTTCCAGATGTCTGAAGCATGTGTTGAACATGTTGTGAACATCTAAAGCACGTGTTGGAAACATGTTTGGAACATGTCGCCGACATTTTCAACCCATTTCAAAGTCAATAATAGGACTGTTGGGGCGCCCATTGCCGTGGCATCCGCAAGGCTCTGCCTTCGCCGCGGGCGCGGCGCCCCCGCGCCGCGGCGGCCGGTGCCCGTCCGAGGGCGCCTCGCGGCGCGCCCTTCCGAAAGGGCGGGCGTGCCGAGCTGTCGCGGGGCGGCCGCCCGCGGGCGTCGTGTTCGCCTGCGCCCGTGGCCGCCTCGTGGGCGCCTCGTGCGCGGGGCGGCCGCACCGGCTGCACCACACGGCTTGCGCTCGCGAGAGGCGCCAGGCCGCACTGGCCCAGCGCCTGCGCGCTGCTGCCCAGGGCAGGGGGGAGGCATGACCTCCCTGACCGTCGCCCTGTGCTGCCCTCGTCCCCCCTGCGCACGGCCGTGGGGTGATGTCTCCCCTGCGGTGACTGGTTTGTGTGCCACATCTATCTCAAGCGGTGGCGAAGCGTCCTGGCGTGCCTGTAGTCCTACCAAACAATGTTCTGTGTTTTGAGAATCTTCTGTTGTTCCCACGAAATGTTCTTAAAACATGTCTGGCGGGGACTGTCTTGTTTCATTACAGCGGGCTTATGTTCGAAGAACATTGTTGTTGTTCTGAGAACATTTTTGGGTTCTAAGAACATTTTCGTGGTAGGACTAGAGGAATGCTTGGACGGTCGGTCCCTGCTCAACTATTGCACCACACAGTCTGCACCGCACATCTTGCACGATATAGCTTCCACCACACTGCTTACACCACGTAGCTTGCACCGCACATCTCGCACCATGCTGCTCGATCGACACGTCTTGCACAACATGGTTCATACCGCATACACTCCACATGTCTTGCACCGCATGTCTTACACCACATAGCTTGCATCGCAAAGCTTGCACCCCGTAGCTTGCACCACGCAATTCGCTTACACCAGATATCTTTCACCACGGCGTACACCGCGTAGCTTAGTCCACACAGCTTGCACCGCATAGCTTGCACCACACAGCGTACATCACCTACCGTAAACCATACAGCTTGCTCTACAAGGCGTGCAATATGTAGATTGCACCGCGTAGTTTGCACTTCATAGCCGGCACATCCACAAGGTAGTAACGTCCTGTTTGGGACACACGCTGGCAAACACTGTCTTTTGTGTAGGATTCCGGCAATTATAACGCTTCAGGAATAGAAGGTTGAACACCGAGGAGAATGAGAAGAGGAGGGGGAGGAGGGAGCAATCAGATGAATGATGTTGATTCCGGAGGAGAGAACGAGGATAAGGAGGAGGAGGAGGAGGAGGGGAAGGAGGTAGAGGAAGGAGCAGAACGAGGTAATCAGGTGAGGGGGAGGAAAGAGAAGTATCGCGAGACGTGGAAGGACGCGACATAGATTGAAGAAGCGGGGAATGGTCGTCGAGAGCATTCATTCCCCATCGATTCACGACCAAGTGCAGATCCTGTTTTCGATAGGAGACCCTTTTGCACTATGCGGTTGCTCGGGAAGTGATTCAGACGTATGTGATTTTGATGCTTGTGTGCGCAAGCACGCATGTCGTTCATACATTCCTTCATCATGCACCAGTTGTGGCTCCCCGTGCTATTTCTATGTTTGGATTTCTGGCAGTCCTGCGCAATCTGCTGCGCCATCCTTGACCCTGGGCCCGTTTACGCAGATGTCATGTTGTTTTGGTGCGCGACATTGGGCAGCATTTACGTTTGCTGATCCTTCTCTGGCGTACCTGATGCATGAGTTGGTGCATGTGCGCTCTCAACTCTCGCCGCTGTCCGACAGCCACGGAGCGAAGAGGTTTATATTGTGGGCGTGTTGAAGAACGTGTCTCACTTGTCCGAGAATCAGAAGCGCGCGCCCCTTGCTTGCCACGCTGATGTGCGGTGTTGATCGTCCTCGCTCTGCCAACCACTGTAATTTCCCCAGCACTCTTTTGGCTTCGACTTGTGAGTTCGCTCCAGGCATGGAGGAGTCTGAGTTATAGCTGGAGGGGGGTGGCTGGGTGCGTACTGTGCGGGAAAGATGGGCAGGAGGAATGAACACGATGAGTTGCGACAGCATGAACAAGAGGCGCAACCGCAAAATGAAATGGAGTAGTGAATAGAGTGCACGAACGAGTGAAACCCATGAGGGGATGATGAACGAGAACAATTGCAGCCAGAGGAGGAAGAGGGGAATGAAGATGAGAAGGGGAGCATGCAGATTGATGAGAACGGGAGGATGCAGATAAGGTGACCCTCGACGGCTAGATCAGCTTCCTCTTCACAGATATCATCGTTCTCCTTCTCTCCCTCCCCATCATCTTTCCTTCCCCTGTCCATGCAAGGGCCCATGCCGATCCGAGCCATCCAGTTCGATATCGGCCCCAGCCGGCCTGACGCGATTCGATCCCGACATTCCGACGATCCCGTTGCAGTCCTAGTTTTGCATGGCGTTGTGATTGCTGGTGCAGGCGAACTTTTTCGATGTATCCCCCGTGCCGATGCAGCCCGATCTGACACATGTTTCGATCCGATCAAATTTTCTGATTCTATGCCGACTGATCCTGGTGCTGGGCCGTTCCTGGTGCTGGGCCGTTCCTTCGATGCGTGGGCGCCTCTGGCGCCAGGAGGCGCGCGACGTGAGCTGAACCGATAACACGGAAGAACAGCGCATTGCATACATTCGGGGCCCTGCAGAAGGAACCCTTTTCGCTGGGGAGGGGCTCCGTGTTCCTTAAGTGTTTTGCAGTTCGCCTCAGGTTTTCCTTAGGTTTTCGATGCGAAATCGAAGTTCAACTTATGGAAAAAAGGGGCCTCGTTCCTTATTTAGGGTTCCTTGGGTCAAGGCCCCGACTGTAAGCATAAACTTTCAGAGCCCCATGCGGATCTCCGCTTCTCGCATCGGCGCTGGCCCACCTGGGCGCGGCGCTTCCGGCGCCGCCCCCTCGGCGCCCTCCGCGCGCCAGGCAGGGGGCCCGGTGCCGATCATGGAATCAGATCGTGAATTACCTACCCCGCTTTCGCTTCCGGGCAAAACCAAGCCATACCACGCGCCTCCTGGTCTAGCGGCCTGACCAGTACAGGCTGCAATTTGGCATCGTTTGGTATCTCTTGGAAGCGAGGGTGGTCAAAAGCGAGGTAGGTTTGTTTCCCCCCTATGGAAGCTCCGCGCGGACTCGCGAAATCTCATGCGCGCGCGGCTGTTTCTGCTATGCCCCCCCCCCCAAGCCCACCCCCCCCCGTCCCCCCCGTCAGGGGCAACGTTTCCTGGCCTTCCAGAGTGTTCAAACAAAAAGCCCGCCAAACCTATGTAGGCCTATCTGGACTGCCTGGAAGCCTCGAGGGGAGTTGAGGTCCTGGTGCATTTTTTTTACCCCTGCTGGAATGTCAGGGTTGGGGGGGGGGGATGGGCTCAGTGCGGGATGCATGCACCTCCAATCGCCCACTCGTCGCCGACAGGGCCTGCCCAGCAGGCCACCCCGCCCGGGACCGTGCGCATTTGTAATCGGGGCCTGTCGTCGAACCGTCGGCGATGCCCCCCCCATCGTTGCCCCATCGCCATCGTTGCCCCGGACCCTCACGTTGCCCACCCCCCCCCAGTTACCCCCCGCCCCATCTGCAGGGCTCGTGTCGATTCCTCCGATTCGATTCGATTCCGATGGCTTCCGATTCGATTCGATTTGGGATTCCGATTTGGGCCCCGATCTCTCATTGGAGGCATGATTACTAGCCTGCTGATCTCTGCCGAGTCGACTTCTCCCGACTTGGCTGCCGATCTCCGCCGATACGATTCAGTTCGATCGCCGATCCGACCTATCGATTCGACTCTGCTCTCTCCTGCACGTCCCAGCGCCTGCCCCGGTGCCTCTGGACCTCTCACGGGGGGCCAGCGCGGGCGGCCCCGCGCTCCCGAGGGCGCTCGCGCGGCAGAACGTGGTCGACGTTCTGTTCAGGCTGATGGGCGCCGAGCAGCTCACGGCGCCGCCGCCCTCCCCCTCCTCTTTCGTTGCATCTTTCGGGGGCGGCCAAGAGGGGGTTGATGACGAAAGGGGGCGACTAGAGAATGTGAAAAGTACACTGGCGAAGGACCCAATGAGATGCAGTTGTGAGTACCGTCGCTGTAAGTATCGCTTTCGGCGCCTTGCGAACCCTGGCATTTGGTCCTTAGCTGGAGCTCCCTGCAGTGTCTGGTGAGGGGTGTGCCGAAATGAGGCGCCGACGCCACGCGAACCCTGGTATGTGTGACTTAGCTGGAGCTCCCTCTGGGAACACGCAGCGTGAGAGGGGTGTGCCGAAACGAGGCACCGATGCCATACGAACCTTGGCATTTGGGCCTTAGCTGGGGCTTCCTATGAGGCCACGGCACGTGTGAGGGGTGCGCCGAGATGGACACGCGGAGGGCAAAGGCAACAGCGGGAGGAGGGAGGATGAGGAGGAGGGAGAAGGGCACCTGGTGGGAGTGGAGCGCGGCGTCGTCTGTTCAAAACGAGGACCCAAGACCACAGGACGGTTGGGAACAACACGTGAACTTAATCCTTCGGAGGCCCGTGCCGACCCGAGACATCTTCGCGGACCTCCGACAGTGTATGGTCAAGGATGCCTTTTTAGCTCCTCTACACGAGGGGGTGGCGTGTCCAGGGGAGGTGCCATGGCCAGGTCAGTGACATCGCCCGGGGTCTCAAGGCCCCTCTTCTTCCAGTGCCCCCCTTGTCCAGTGCGAGCAGGCAGGGGGGGAAATGCTTCGAGGATCGATGATCGAGACTTCTGGGTGGAGGAGGGAGAGCGTCGAGGCGGGAGAGCTTCGAGGATCGAGGATCGAGGATCGCCGAGGACAGGAGCGAGTAGCAAAACTGCATAAAATCACACGCAATCGCTCGGAGATCGCCGCGGATGTTGTGGGATCTGCCATGGGCCCCTCTGGCGGCACTTCTGGCGCCGCCCCGTGGCAGAAATTTGCCTGGACCTCCGAGATTGCATGCGTATGTTGTTCTGACATCTTCGAGAGTTTCGAGGATCCAGGCTGCTCGGTGAGACTTTGGAAGAAGGAGCAACGCCATAACCATAAAGTTGTTAGCCGTGTTGCGCATGGCGGGACTCCAAGCTTACAAAGAACAAGTTTGGCTCTGGTCTGCCTGGTCTGGTTGGTCTGGTTTGAGTTTCCTCTTGCAGCCTTAGCTTAGGATCCGAGCGAGCGTGGCTTAGGGGAGGTCCGGCGAGGCAGCGCCAACCACCCCGACGACCGAAATGCTGATTGTTTGCATTGCAGTTTTTTGTTGCTTTGCAGTTGTTTTTGCATAGCAGATTGTGTTGTATCTGGTCTGGTTGGTCTGCTTTGAGCTTCGTCTTGCAGCCTTAGCTTAAGATCCCGGCGAGAGTGTTTAGGGGAGATCCGGAGAGGCAGCGCCAACC